CCACCCACGGGTCGTGCCTCCCCCCTACCCCCCTGCAGGCTCTCGATCCGCCCCAGCCTGCTGGACCCCCAACCCCCAGCTAACCCTGCCATCCCGACTTACCTGATAACAGGCAGCCCTTTTAAATTGATTTAACCACCCCTTAGCACCCCCAAATGTCTGTACTTAGCCTTAGATCAGTGATTGTCAACGAGGGCACTGCAGAACCTTGGGATGCCTTGAGAACTTTGCAGAGCTGCCAAAGGGTGTTACACATTGTTAGCACTAGGTGTACAAACATGATTCACAAGATAAACCCAGATATTTCAAATAGGAAAGCATAGTATTAAAAACATTCTGACCTATTGTGGTCTTTCTGAAACCTCTTCAGCACAAGAGTTGCTCCATCATTTTTCTGCAGTTAAAAAAAAAATCACATGAAAACTAAGAGCTGACATTTTCTGAGGGGTGTCTTGAGTCTATCAAGGTTGAGAACCACTACTTTGGACACCTCAAGCAAATTGCATAAAGAAGAAAAATGGATTATTAATAAAAACTCGGAATAAAAACTGAAGGTAAATATAAGCTCCATACAAGAATCCAGTCTGCCAGCCTTAGGGTTGAAGCTACCCAAACTCCTTTGAAGTATACAATCACAATGAATACAACATTTTAGTGACTTTTTTACATGTCAATAAGGAGAGTTCAATCCTTGTATAAGAATTCAAATATTCCAAGATAAAATAACTTGATCTGGAAGGTTAACCTTTTTATTATTATTTTCAACTTTTATCTACCAAAATTTATGTTGAAAGTTCAACATTTCTAAAAGATACTTCCTTTTAGTATGAAATACTTAGGGTGAGGAAAGAAGTAATAACTGAAACACTTAAAACATCTGCAACGCATCAAAAGGGCTAGCTGTACAAATGTACATACCTTTGAAATGACCCAAAAGTGGCTTAGGCGCTCTAGAATATTTTTTGAAACAAAGTACTACTTTGAAGCATTTTACTTCTTGTTAAATGTAAACAGGGAGGGGGGAACCCATAGATTGGGGTGGGCAATTATTTCAGGCAGAGGGCCGCTGAGTTTTGGCAAGCCATCGAGGGCCGCATGACAGGCAGCCAGGGGCACATAAATTTTTTTTTTTTTTTTAATTTGTAGGGGCCCCACAGGCCGGATAGAATGGCCTGGTGGGCTGCATTTTGCCCACCCCTGCCAAAGATCCTCCAGGACCCCATAATGCTCTGCTCTCCCTCATACCCTCCACAGAGGAGGGAGGGAGAGAGGAACTGATAATCTGGCAAGCTGACTGACAGTCCACCATACTGTGTAGCCACTGGGTCCCACTCTGGGCATGACTGCTCTGGCACTAAGCTTCCCCCCTTCCTCTGCCACTTCCAGTGCCAGACTCTGCAGCCCCAACCCCCTCTAACTTCTTCACTTCAATGAGAGAAGAGGTTTGAGGTACTGCTGCTGGAAAGCCTGGCAGCAGCAGCAGCAGGCTGCCTATCCCCCACCACCAGGGATTCTTCACTCCCTTGCCCTGTGACTGGAGGAGGGAGTGTTGTAGCTAGGGAGCAATACAGGAGGTACACGTATTGCGTGCAACTGAAATAATATATTTTATAAATGCTTCCAAGCCTGTTACACTCAGAGTCAATTCAAAGGTCACTTCTGTCCACATGCTTAATGTCAGAAAATGCCAACCTACACCTTCATCTCCTCTAAAGCACTTATCAAAAACAGTAAGTAAACACAGAATCTCTGTTGTCATATCAGCTCAAATGAATGGATAGATTTCTACAAATCTTGTTTGGCTAGATATGGTCTACAGCCTCTTCCCCAGCTTTACATGCTTCTAAGTCATCACAGCTTTACCAGTTACCAAGATAAAGCCAAGGAGATGGTACAGATCCTCTAAGTCCTTCTCCAAGATTACACTCAGACTCGCATATAGAAACTTAATATTGTCAATATAATTCAACTTATATTCAACTTATAAGTATATATACTTATATACTTATAATTCAACATTGTCAGTTCAACTTAAATTGAACTGACAATGGACAACTCTTAGTGCTACCTCCAATTCCAAATAAGAAATTTTTCCTCTCATCAGACAGAGAACTTGCAGATACATGCATTTGCCTAAAGTGCCAGGTTAATGATTTTTCATCCTTATTTTCTGCTTTGAAATTTTTCGCTACTCATTAGTAATTTTTGGAATCGCTTTTGCACTTTAATTCACCAAAAATTAAACAAACATTTGCAACACTGGCATAATATTTTCATATTCCAAGAAAGTTACAAAAAAAAAAAAAAAAAAAACCAACGTATCTGAGCTGCAAGACAAAAAAATACTCGAATATAAAGAACTGCAAAATCTTTTTTTTTTTCTCTCTCTCCCAACTTTTCTTTGGTAAAAATACATTTTCATTAACATATCATTAATTGAGTGGTTCCAAAAAAAAAATAAAAATCTTATTTTGGCCAAATTAATTTCCTCCTCTAAATGTGTATCAAGTTCTGAAAGAAACCGAATGTCTGACTTTAAAAAGCTGTTGCCCAGTAGTTGGTGCCCAGGAAGGAAAATAAGACTACTATAAAATATAGTTTATAAATATAAAACTTCTGAACAACTTTGCCAAGTCTCTTCACAATGTTGAGTTTATTAAGGAAAAATGTCAACTATGCTATTATTAGTGACATTCTAAATATGTTATTAAAATACTAGCATGAAATATGTCAGCTGTTGCTTGGAATGTTTTAAGTATTCAGTTTAAAGCAAATACTTAAGACAAACTAACAGCAAGAGGGAAGGAGACAGAACTTACATAAACACTTTGTATTTTACAGCCTTCCCTGTACTTTACTATGAAGAAGAAAAGAAAAGGAATTCTGGAGCATGTCATATATGAATGTAAAACAATCCTCCTTTTTTAATTTATTTCAGTATCACCATCATACCAGAATACTGCATGATTAGAATGTATAAACATTTAACTTCACATACAGTTACATCCTGCATAGCTCTGCTTTGATAGCTTGAAGTATTTTCATAAACAAAAACAGAGAGAGAAAAAAAGATAACAACCACAATATCAAATCATTCTTACTAAAGAAGGATTTTAATTTATGTAGTATTTGCTGGTAAGAAGGACCAAAGTTGCCTAGTTGTAAAACCAACTATTTATTTATTTGATTTATATGCCACCCTTCCCAACAAAGGCTCATATAGCTAATTATTGCCTTGCTCATGCTAGAGCAGACCTGTACACTTGAAAGTTCAATTAAATACATCTGCAGCTTGAGAGAAAGAGAGCATGAGCTTGAGCGAGAGAGAGAAAGCACACGAGCCAGCAAGAACAAGGTCCCATCTAAACTTATTTCACTGGGACTGTCCAATTAGTATGAGAATACAACACTGAAACATGGAACAGAATCCAAAGTAATCTTACAATGCCCCATTTCCAAGCAATCAAAACAAGTGAGAGACTGCAGCCAGCTATATACTTAGTTTACTGCAGGCATTTATTTTTCTGTTATGTTAGAGGAGTGACAATCTAAACCGCAAGGTAACTACAGTTACCTTATTAACAAATAAAACAATGGAACCAAAAAGGATACAGGATCATAGACTCATAGAAAATGAGGGTTGGAAGGAACCTCAGAAGGTCATCTAGTCCAACCCACTGCTCAAAGAACGACCATCCCCAACTAGATCATCCCAGCTAACGCTTTGCCTAGCTGGGTCTTGAAAACCTCCAAAGATGGAGATTTCAAGTATGTACAGATTACAGGCAACCCCCGCTTAGCACTCTTAATTGGTTCCAGAAAAACCAAGCGCTAAGAGGAACAGCATTAAGCAAAACCGATTTTCCTATAGGAACGAATGTAAATAAATACAATGCATTCCCAGGGCTCCCCACTTCTACTATAATATCAATGAAATCCCTACTAGTACCATAAAAACACTGAATTCAGACATCTAAATGTATGTAAACGCTTTATTTAACACTATTTTTATTACAAAATAAAGTAATGAACAGTATGCAAAGATTCACTTTCACTTTCTGCTCTTCGGGCTTCCTTCAGCACTCAGAATCAGAGCAGTCTGGGTTAGTGTCAGTTTCAGGGGATTTTGAAGTGTTTGGCTGAGGATTTTTTTGCGGGGAAGCTGCAAGGGTTGAAGCATGAGTTCTGAATTTCCTGAAGAAGGAATCTATTGATAGCTGCACTTTGGGCTGCTGCTTTTCACTGTAAAGCAGCATGTAACAATTGACTTCACTGTTAACTCCTCTTGCAACTGCAGAACTGCACTGCATGTCAGGGTCATTCTTATCAAAGTAGGAAAGAAAAGCTTCAAGATGTCTGAAAGCTTCAGCCACGCCTTTGCTGATTGAGGCCCTTGCTGGTTGTACATCTTCCTCAGCATCTTCCTCTTCTTCGAGACATCTCTGCTGTTCTATTTGAATGAGGTCCTCATTGATTCCAACAAGGAGGAATAGAGCAATCAACTCATAAATGTCCTCTGGTTCTAGTTCATCAAATCCAATTTTCCTTCCAGGATCAACGATATTGTCCTAAATTATCACCACTGGTTCCTCAAACCCTTGGGTATCCTGGACACAGTCTTCCCAAAGCTTTTGGCAGATACAATTCATTGTTTTGGAAGCAACTTCATCCCAGGCACTTGAAATGTTATCTATTGCCTTGCGGATATTATAGCCCTTCCAAAATTCTTTTAGGGTCAGAGTACCCTCTCCACCTGTAGCCCTGACAGCCTAGGCAAATGTTTTCCTTACCTAATGAGCCTTAAAGTAAACAATGACACCCTGGTCCATCAGTTGTAAAATAGAGGTGGTATTGGGGGCACTTTTACATTATAACTGAGGTCATCAAGTGTGGTAGGATGTCCTAGTGCATTGTGTAAAATGAGAAGTGCCTTGTGGGACAGGTTGTTCTCGGCACAATATTTATCAACTGCAGGAGAAAAATAATCCCTGAACCAGCTCTGAAAGACTGACATTATCACCCAGGCCCTCTTGTTAGACTTCCAGATGACTGGCAGACGCTTTTAAGATACCCCTTGAGAGCCCTAGGATTTTGAGTGGTATACAAGCAATGGCTTCAATTTAAAATTCTCTGCAGCATTACCACCAAGCAACAAAGTAAGTCAATCCTTGGACACTGCAAAAGCTTGTATCAACTTCTCCTCCCTGGAAATGTAAGTCCTAGAAGGCATCCTCTTCCAAAGCAGGCCTGTCTCTTCAGCATTGAAGACTTCGTGAGGCATATAACCCCCCTCTTCAATGATTTCCACAAGTTTATTTCTATAATTGCAAGCTGCTTGGGTGTCAGCACTAGCAGCCTCCCCCGGAACAGAAACACT